CTTTGATTTAAATTATTCGCTCTTTGTTTATCGGTCGTTTGTTCAAATATTCCAGAATATTCTGGATAATGGAACGAAAGAGCATCTCTTGCAAGAGTCCTCCAGACAAGCAGCGAAACTTGTCTACGCTTTCAACCGGTGCATAATGCAGCATCTATTTCCACGTAGACGCGTGATGACAAATTCATCGTGAATTTGGCGTGAGCACGAAATATCGAACGAAAGGGAAATTCGCAAACCTTTGCCTTACACACGTGTCAGAAATAAGAAGAAATTATAACGCAACAACGTCCGGTATCTACATTAACTTACTCCTACCGACACGATCAATTGGAGAACCAATTTCCGAATAATGTAATCACTTCGCGCTAATTGCCATCAGCCTTTAACTGTTGATTGCCAAGCTACGTTTATTATATTTCCACCTCTGGCTGCGAGCAATTCCTGTATTTCCTCGATAATCGACCGATCGTCGAAACGACGACGACGACGCTGCACTGTAAGATTTCGTCGCACCGGGACAGAATTTAATTAGGTTGACGCTCGACGATGAAAAATTCAGAGAGCATTGCATAAAGCTTGTCGCCAGGGAAAGCCATCGATGCTCGTATCGGTATTTCACGTTTCAATGGCGTTTTATCGTGTTCCAGAAATTCGCGCGAGTCCCGGCACGGCGAGATGAACAAAAGCGTGTCAATGCCGTTTCACGGTGATTATTATCGATTTCAACCACCGAGTGGAGAATTTATGTATTACGTGTATATCTGCATTTTTTTTTTTTTTTATTTTTCTAGTGAATTCGTACGTACACACACAGTGAGAAAGAAACATGATATCTGGCTACGGCGATATTTTACGATAAATTACATTTCAGAAACGAGCGTGATCTTTGTACGTGTACTCTGTTTCTACTAGTTTCTACTAGACGAGAGGCTGAATCTGAAGAATGCTAGGCGAAAGTTCAAAGAATTTTGAAATTTCTTTCCCAAGCTTCTTTCTGAAATGCACGCGGGAAGTCTAGCCAGAGGGTGGAAACGAAAAGTTCCTTGGAATATCGAGCCGCGTTAGGGTAAAAATTCCAGACCCACCGCGCGGACTGGTCTTCAATTTACAAGTAACGAAAGCCGCTTCGTCGACACGCGAGACTGTTGTTTGTCACGTGATCAGAAGCAGAGAAGTCGAGCGGCTCGTACGAGCGAAATTTCGAAATATTATCGCGCACAGAGACGTCTTCGGTCGAGAAAAACGATGAACGAACGAGCACGACACGCGAATCGACGTGAAAAAAATCTCAGCCGAGAGATCCGGCGATCTCCACGAGGTGGAAGTTGACATCGAAAATAAAGTCAAAGCGGCCCGCGAGCCGCGATCGTCGTCGTCGTCTTTGTCGGCGTGAAGAGCAGAGATCGCGAGGCGAAGAGGCGCGAAGGGAAGATTCGTAAAAAAAGAAAGAGATGACAACGACGAAGCGAGCGCGGGCGACGAAGTGAGCGTGGGCGACGATTCAACAGGAGACCTCGTCCGTCGACACGTGTCCGCGTTTCACGGTCTTCCAGACTTCCGATTCTACTTTTACCTGCGTTCCGTCGTTGCGTCCGCGACGTGACGTGTTTCGATGCCGGTGAGACGGACACAGAGTTCCATCCAACGTGGAACGGCGAGTTTCAGCCGGTTTCTCTCGTTCGACGAGAAACTCCAACACGGAACGAGTTGGAAATAAACGGTGAGGGTGAACGATAACTCCGTACGATCTACACACGTTGCCGGTCGGCCCGACACTGATCGTACATGTACTACTTGCTGCGTGGCTTCGCAGCGGCAGCGGAACTCCCAGTGGGGGTAGCAGCGGCAGGAAATGGAACAAGGGGGGAAACTGGCGAGCCAAGGGCTACTAGGGAAAATATGCGACGGAGAAAATCGAAACGAGAGAAAGAGAGCACGACGTCCAACCCTCCGCTTGGTTCGTACGATGTCCGCGGCCGACTGTGTTTTCACAAACGTTTATTCGACTTCCATGAAACTGCGAAATTTATCGTATGTCTCTCTCTATCTCTCTCTCTTAAGATAGATACTTAAGTTTGCAAAAATCAAACTCATACAGAAGCTTTATCGTTAATGAAGTCCTTTATTTCGCATTATGATTCTACACGAGACATTATCGGTTATTAATAGTGCCTAGAAAGTGTATCGATTTCGAACGTTTAACTATTCTGTGCGGAGACGTGGCTTCACTGCGTGAATATTTGCGCAGGATATTTTTTTTTTTTTTTTTTTTTTTTTGAAAAATCGCTTTCAGCGACAGTGATCGCTGAATTTGTTAGGATCCACAGCGCGCTCAAACGCGGTCGGACATGCTGAAAATAGTTGGCATTTCGAGGCGCAGTTTGAAGTACAGGATCATTAAGTTGATCCTAATATTAGATTGTTTAAATATTGCTAGGTAGAGATTCGTGCTCGACAAGTATTCGTCGTGAGTTAACGACGATTAACACAATCTTGGTGTGAGGAAAAATTCCTCCAGTGTTCCTAGTTGCGTAAACTTCGAACAGACTCGGCGCGGTGCATTATAATTTCCCCCAGAAATGCTAGAAGGGATACTAACAATCCGCAGCCAGTGATCCAAGTTAGGTTCGACACGAGCGACGATTTGTACAGACTAATCTCCATTTTGTTGGCCTTTTTCGGCCGAACTTTGCCGACGTAATCGTTGATCCATTTCCTGCGTATACCTGTTTGCTCCAAACGCGTTGTGATGTCCACGAACCGATCCCTGTACGGTGAGTATTTGCTCAGGAAGTACGCGATCGGCAGTTTCAGGTAACACAAATTTTCAGAAACTTTCGCGGTAACCTTACCAAGCCGCGCCTGCCAGTAAATGATCATGTTTGCGCTATTCAAGTCCGTGAAGCAAGTGACGTTCTGACGTTGATCCAAATAATCTAGGCATTGGCCGATAGCAGTGTCTGTGACCGCCTTCCTCTTCAACCGGAGAAACGATTCGTCGTCGCTGAGGAAGGTCGCGTCGAAAATACCAGGCGAGATAACGGGAATCAGTCCGGACTTGTCCAGCTCTTCGTACGTCTTGTAATCCACTTCAGTTTTCTCCCTCATGCTCATGGTGGTGAGATCGACGAACAAATTTGCCGAGTAGATCGACGAAGCGATTATCACCGCGAAGAATATAACTCTCTCTCTCGTTTTCGTCGGCTTCGACGGAATAGCGATGGCTATCAACAAACCGAAGATCTTCAACGGTTGCCACATGTCTTTGTCAAACTTCAGCACAGCCGATATCGCCCAGAACACGAGAACGATGCAGCAGTTTGTGGCTATACCGACGAGTGCTTGCCCCTCGAAATTGTTGTACTCGTACTTGAGTGGTATTACCGGACACCAGTTTTCGAAGTCAAGCGGCAAAGTATACTCGATCATTCTAGAGTTGTTGTCCGCGTAAATTGACAACGTCGGAATTATTATGTCGGCTTTTCCATGAATTATAGCGTCGATTGGTTGTACGTCAGGAAGCGGCGCGATCGTGAAGTTCATAGACTGAGCAAGCGTTTTCAACATTTTCACGTCCGGGCCTTTGTATTTTATAGGGTATTGCGAATTCTTCAGGAACCATATGTAGGCTGTACGATTTACCACAGCTACTCTCATCGGGTAACCGTGAAGATTCGCCACTTTGTTCGGGAACCACTCTACACCGGAAGCGTATGGCCGCTGGTCGTAGACATGCGTAAACGGATTGTACCAATGAACCTTCGCACCATCGACTGCCGATCCATTCGGCCCCGACAACTCTAGAATCGTCATGTCGATCAGATAGCTGTGCCACGTTTGCTCCAAAAACTGTTCGAAGTTGCAATTTTGTTGCTCCAGCATGGTTATCAGCAGAACCTTTGGTCGATTGTTCCCCATAATCTCGGCCGTAATGTTTCCCGTTTCCTCGAAATCTGGCGAAGCTCTCGCGATGTAGACGTACAGAATTAACGTTGCTCGGGACGCGCGAAAGGAGGACAACTGCGGAGGAATCGAGTCGTTCAACGAGATGCAACTGGTTGGTATAACTCGCGACACGGTTTTGTAAATCTCGTCGACTGCTCCGTGATCCGACCGGCCGTGAGGATTTTGCACGACGAATTGCACATCCGCGAATTTGTTCCTCTGGAGAAGATCGTTGATAGGTTGCACGATGTTGCTGGACAAGTAGCTCAAATAATTTACGTGCTGAAACGCCAGCAGGTAAATCGGTAGTGTCATGGTAACTTTTGTAACGTCCCTTGAATTGAAACGAGGAAAGTTTAGTTTTACTAACAATCTCTGTCAAAGAGAATTTTCACAAATTTGCAAGCTTATTTCTTCCTTTTGCAATTTCGCGATTTTGCAATTCTTGGAGAACTGGGAACGAAGCGACGAACGTTGAGAAAGAGCGACGATCGACTGAAAGCGAATTTCTACTTTCCACGTTCCTCACGCGATAATTTCATTTATCTTAAGTGCAACGATAGCGCATATAAACGACTGCCAGTTTGCAGTTGATATGAAACAGAAGATATCGAGTGCTTTCACATGACATTGGGAACGTCTCATTATCGAGCTGATCAATTCGCGCGAATGGTGGAAAACACCTTGCTTTCAATTTCCCTATCAGCTATTCTACGTAATACTTCATTAACTGTAATTCCAGCGCGATGCACTGCACAATCGAGCATGTTAACGAGAATTATCAGACATCTAATAAGATATAAGAGAAAATGTAAAATTTAAGATATAAAATTTTGTCCGTGAATATTTAAAAGACGATTACGGAAGCCAATTACTTACGACGTCATTAATCATTTCTTCTCTCGTAGATCTAGATAGCTTCGATTTTTAAAACTTGGCTCGAACATTTTCTTTTTTCACAGTCTTGGAAACTTTTCTTCTTTTTTTTTTTTTGTTAAAACATCAGAAACTAACTAAAATACATCAAACTACTTATAATACAAAGAGGTGAAGAAGTGTTGCTCAGAAGCGTTTACTGCTGGTTAAATGAGAATTATTTTAATAGGATAGAAGGTTTCTTTCATCAATGGATTTCACCAGATAGTACGCGGGCGACGTGTTCAATTAACCCTGACAGTATCTTTCATTTATAATTCTCACGCCTGATGCAAATTTTATTGACCGTAGCCTAGAAACGTAATAAATCATCCTTGACGATCCATTATTCTTCGCAATTATGATAATTTTATCAACAACGATCGTACCGTACAAATTCTGCCGACTAAAACACTTCAGCCGCCTGTTACAACACATTACACACCACGAGACTTGGCTCGCTTCTAATCATGGAAAATGGATCGAAGGCTATGTGGCACGGGAGTTTGGAAGAACAGCGAGGAGAGGCTAAATTAAGGTATAATCGTTCGTAGCTTCTGTCAATTGTTCCCTTGACATCATCTTTCTTCGTCAGATAGAAACGATAGAAACTATTAACAATTAAAGTTGTCATCAAGCTCGATGCTTGCGCGATTACCAGCAGTATGAGACGAGGCAAAAATAAATGCCGAGTACTTATCATATATATGTGTGTATGTATGTATGTATGTATGTATATATATATATATATATATTAGTAATTTATTTGGTCGTAGATTTGTTTAGAAGATAATTTGGATTAGGAGAAGAGGGCTTTTTGGTATTCGAATGTTTTACCGTTTTATTAAGCCTAAGCGAGAAGCAACAATGCGAGAGTAATTGTGCATCACGCTTATAGACTTTTGCGCGGTCATCGCGGATCGGACGGATCACTATCAGGAAATATAAATAATATTCATTTACACATTCGTGACGTATGAACAAATGGATGATGACGATAGAACAGTAGATGCGTATATAAATTACGTGTACAGCGGGCAGAGTAGGAATAAAAGACATTAGATATACACGACATTTTAGCGATTTGAAAGCACAGTGGAATGCTTGCGAACGTTGCAATGGTTCAGTTTGTTTGCAATTGGGAATGGCTTACTTTGAATAGTCATGGTAGTTACGTATTACGTCCAACGTATTATGCATACATCTTTCCTATGATTATTAATAATGGACATTGACAACGCGCGTACTCTTCTACGTCCTTTCTACTTTCTTACGAAGACTAGAGAGAAGCACGAGAGAAGGACCAGGACGAGGCTGGCAGCGAAAGTGGCAACGCCGTTTCCGTTCCAGCAGGCGTTCAGATCGCACTGTCTAAGAACCGGGTTGAACCTTTGCTTCAAATACTCCCAGTCGCAGAGGCCCACCTTACATCCGTCGAGCATGACCGGCTTCTCAGCCAAGTAAAACATTACTTTGTTCGGTTGGCCGCTAATGTCGCATCTGCGAAACAAAATGGGAACGCTTTGTTTCTAACTAGCAAATGTTACGACTCCTCTCGGCTCGGAGACATTTGTCGCGATCCGAAAGGCAAGATTTAAATCTTGCTCTACTCGCCCGATCTAATTTACCTGTAGAACACGGCGACGAGATTCGCGGCGAAAGACGACATGAAAGACGTTCGCCATTTACGTTTCTCCATGTCGTTGTAATTAAAGGCGGTCAGCTGCGTGTGATCTTTGTTAATGTTCAACGTGGTCAGCAGGTTCTGCAGATTTATAATGTCGCTAAAGTAGAATACACCGTTCGGCTCGTTCGAGTCTCCGTTTTGCTCCAGTTTCCTGAAACATCGATCACACAGTCGTTCGTATCGAGAAATCGACAGCTTGTCAACCGATTGTCAATCGACGGATCGTATTGCATCGGTACAGCGATAGCGTCTCGAGCAGGATAGAAATAAAGAAAATTACCAAAAGTGATTCATCATGTCTTGCAAAAGCATGCATCCTAGCTGCGCGTTGATTTCACGTCCATATCCGGCCTTGTAATAATAGTGGAGATCCTCGCGATACTCGAGCACACGAAGCTCCTCCTTGCTGAAAACGGCGCACCAAGGAGAAAGTGCCGTCACTGTCCAGGCCTTTTCGTAACGACACACGTCGTACATCGCCAGGACCGACTCTGGAAAGCAAAATGACGTCGATAAAACGACGCGGCTGAAAGTTCGAGAAGTAGGTGTTTGGTTTCTAAACTCTGTGTGCTTACCTTTGGTAATGTCGTACAAAAATCCGAGTCGGCGGCTGACGTTCTGTATCAGATTTTTAAACTGCGGCCCTTCTTCGAACATAATTACCTGCTCGAGGGTGACGTTGCCACGTTCATCATCCCATACGTTGCAGGTTTTATATAGCTTGATTGAAAAGAAGACAGTTTTCAATTCTCTTTCTTCTTTTTTTTTTTTTTTTTAATTGTACATTTTAAAGGATTTTTTTCTCGTACCATTCTTTCCTATACTCACCGATAGCAAGGTATCATTTCTGGCATCAACTTCATCTACAGATACCGCCTCTCTGTTGCCGAACAATCCCTCTATGAACGAATCAACGCTGCCTTCGCGTGCATCGGTTGTTTTAAACTGTAACGAATTCGCCTCGACTTACTTACAATGAAATCGGCCCGAATTATCTACCGATCACGTTTACGTATCGCATAGCGTATATATATACCGTGTAATTTTCCGCCGTTATATACTTGACGCTGTTCGGCTGAAGAAGCTGCGGGAAATTGCTTTGCAATCGTCTGGCAAGCAACCTCATATCTTCCACACCTTGCGGTGTCAAAACTTCCGCCCTTTCAATTGCGAGGTACGCGTCCGGTTTCCAGCGTTTCAAATTTTCCAAATCCCTGTTGCACATGTGGCCGTCTGTGGAAATGGAAAATCATCGAAGGACGGTGTACATCACCGCGGAGAATTTTCGCGAGGTGAAATCGATTTGCTGACGTAGAAAGTGAATTCGATGGATTAACGGGACTCGAGGTTATTAGACGAGGTGTGTTCCAGTTCCAGAGAGGAATTTATGCGTGAAATCGATAAATCTAGGGTTAAACTGTTGGCAACCGTGACTATTGATCAACATGCGAAACGTCGTGCGGCAAAGATCGATACGAAAAAGTGTCAATGACCTGAATTAGCGTCCTAACTGGTTCACTTGCGCTTCAACAGACGTTTCTCCAACGAATAACGAACCACCGCCGCGCACGGAAAGTCTCAAACGTATTGATATTTTAAGACGATTAACTTTCATCGAAACAACATCAGTTGTTTTATTCGTTTCGTTGCTCCGAGAGAAAAAAAAAAAAAAAAAGAAAGAAAGAAAGAAAAGAAAAAGAAGATACTCACTGCCTCGAACTTCGTGGTTGTTGATTATCTGAGTCTGGAGGTCTGTCAATTTGTGCATTTCGATGATTTCCGCTTCAGATGGGCATCGTGTGCCGTGCGTAGCAAACATCCAAACTTGCTCCGCGCGGCAATCTGCAAGACGATGATAAAATGAAGCGACTTCTTCGATGAGAGAAAAGCGAGAGAAAAGCTCGATCAGAAAGTGTCACGAGTACTCACTGGGCACAGTCTGAGACTGAGTTTTATCGGCGTGAACAAAGTGATAGGCAGTTTTAGTAGCCATGTACAAATAGGGATCATCCTCGTCCGCGAAACAAAAGTCAACGTCACGCGCGTAAACGTGGCTAATTAAGAACGTCAAGAATAGCACGTACGCGTTCATTTTCATGCCTGTCTGTTCGATCTGCAACAACACGAGAAAGGATGAACAAGTACTTAAAATTTCAACGATCCTTGTTGATTATCTCAACGCTTGAACAACGGAGGAGCCTATTTTTAGTTCCAAAGAAGTATTGCAATTTCGCTTAAATAGGCACCGAATTGACTCGCTGACTTTGTTCTACTCAGGATGAATGTGCAGACACGTTCTACGACTCTCTGAATTCGTGAAACGCTTGGTTTCATTGAAGTACAGCAAGCAGTAAACCTACATTTTCCTGTGCTGATGTCACGTGTTACTTTACTGCCGGCTTCACAAATTACCTGCAGACCGACTGTACGTAAAATAGATCTTATGTAATCAACAGGATACGCGTTCGATTCTTTTTCTCTCTTTTTTTTT